CACTCCCTAATCTATAGGCTATAGGCTGCTGCCCCCCCCAGCCTCACTCCCATAATCTATAGGCTGCTGCCCCACCAAAAAAATCTATAGGCTATCTCAAACCCTCCCCCCATCCCCCACTTACCTGATCTGTAGGCTGTCTCTGGCTGCATGTGTTGTTCCCCTGCGGTTTCAATCAGCAGAGAGATGCAGGGATAAGATGCAGCTTCCTATCCCTGTCTCTCTCCATACACAGCGCCACCTACTGGCCGGCGCCAATATTGCAGTTCATTTTAAATTTCACACGAAAAATATCAGAACAAGCTGAAAAATCCAGGGGGGGGCAAGTGCCCCCCCTTGCCCCCCTCTGCGGACGCCAATGCTGATACGTCCTGGGATAATTGGAGCTCTGGAAGTGATCATGATACCATGATCTAATGGTATTGCAGCGATGCCTCATATTGAGGCATCACTGTAATACCCCCCTCACTGCCGTGGGCCACCGGAGATTACCGGGTGTTTGCTCCCCCCACAGCAATCACTTCCGGGTTGCTCCACGTGGAGCCCGGCAGTGAGAAAGAGCATCGGAAGCCTTCAGGCAGGATTCTGATGCTCTGTCTCTACTGAGTGCCTCTAGGGGTCGAAGCACTCAGTATTAGTTAAAAAAAGTTTTAAAAAATAATTTAATAATTTAAAAAATAAATAAATTTAACCTCCCTTTCCTTCCCCATGTTCCCCCACCGGCGATCGGTCTTCTTCTTTGGGGGGACTCAGCCCAGAGAGTCTCCCCTCTGCAAAGAAACCCCCCCCCCGGGGCCATGTGACCGTTCTAAAAGAGATATAGGTGCTGGTGAAAAGTAAAAAACAAAGTTAATAAAAGTTTAAAAAAAGTTTTTTAATTATATATATATATATATATAATCATATATAACATCATACAAAGTGTATTTTTTATTAATATATACATATATTAATATAAAAAACGCAAATAAAATACACACTATATATATTGTGTATATATATATTATATAAACTAAATAATAATAAAAATAAAAAATAAAAATGTATTTTTTAAATTATATATATTTATATGTAATTTTATTCTAACTTTGTATTTTGACAACAATATATATATATATATATATATATATATATATATATATATATATATATATATATATAGCAAAATACACTTAGAATGAAATTATACATATATCTATGTATATCCCCCAAAAACCGGTCACTAGGGACCGCGGACGTACCTAGTACAACAGCGGCAAATAGAAGCTCTGGACTTACCTGGACCGGCGATCTGCAGCGATCTCGGTCGGGGGGGACTGCCGGAGACCCCAGCAGTCCCCCTGCAGCAGGTCCGGCCACCATGATCACATCGCCGCAATAGGAGTCTAGGAGTTGCCCGCCTGCTAAAAATTGCTAAAAACTATATATATATACACTCCATTGGGCCTTATGGCAGAGTGGCCAGAAGAAAGCCATTACTTTCAGCAAAAAACAAAATGGCACGGTTTGAGTTTGTGAAAAGACATGTGGGAGACTTCCAAAATGTATGGAGGAAGGTACTCTGGTCTGATAAGACTAAAATTGAACTTTTCGGCCATCAAAGAAAACGCTATGTCTGGCGCAAACCCAACACATCACATCACCCACAGAACACCATCCCCATAGTGAAACATTGTGGTGGCAGCATCATGCTGTGGGGATGTTTTTCAGCAGCCAGGACTGGGAAACTGGTTAGAGTTGAGGGAAAGATGGATGGTGCTAAATACAGGGATATTCTTGAGCAAAACCTGTACCACTCTGTGCCTGATTTGAGGCTAGGACGGAGGTTCACCTTCCAGCAGGACAATGACCCCAAACACACTGCTAAAGCAACACTTGCGTGGTTTAAGGGGAAACATGTAAATGTGTTGGAATGGCCTAGTCAAAGCCCAGACTTCAATCCAATAGAAAATCTGTGGTCAGACTTAAAGATTGCTGTTCACAAGCGCAAACCATCCAATTTGAAGGAGCTGGAGCAGTTTTGCAAGGAGGAATGAGAAAAAATCCCAGTGGTAAGATGTGGCAAGCTCATAGAGACTTATCCAAAGCGACTGGGAGCTGTGATTGCCGCAAAAGGTGGCTCTAAAAAGTATTGACTTTAGGGTGGTGAATAGTTAGGCACATTTACTTTTTCTGTTATTTTGTCCTATTTGTTATTTGCTTTACAATAAAAAAAAAAAAAAAAATCTTCAAAGTTGTGGGCCTGTTCTGTAAATTAAATGATGCAAATTCTCAAACAATCCATGTTAATTCTAGGTTGTGAAGCAACGAAAAACATGAAAAATGCCAAGGGGGTGAATACTTTTGCAAGGCACTGTATATCTTCTAGCTGATGGTATATTTCATTGATATAGTTCTTCATAATTTCATTACCGCACCCCTCCCATCTTTGTCAGTTGTTTTGATGACAATATTGGGTCTTTTTTTTAATCCTTTAATGCTAATCTTTCCTTACATGTTTAATTATCTTTGTGTTTCTATTTAACTCTTTAATATATGCAGTACATGATTTTACAAAGACTTTCGTACTGTCAGTTTTAAGGTAAACAGGATAATATTTAGAAGATTTTTTTTTTTAAATCGGTATGTTTAACGGTTTCTGTTGCATTGACCTCAATATATGAATCATTGTTGCATTTTTATTCATAAAATATTTCAAGCATAATTAACGTATAAATATAAGTTTAAAATTTATTAACAGAACAACTCAGAGAAAACTTGAAATCCTAGTTTAAAACTTTTTTATGATCTGAGTCTAAAATGTTATCTGCCAAATTAAAAATCTTTATTTCCTCATCATCTTTCCTCTTTGTTGCTTCCAGTCTCTTCCCTCCTCTATTTCCCCTTCTTTATACTATCCTTTTTGTGCAAATAAGTTTCTTATAAAACCTTCTCCTCGCCCTCTCATGAAAAAAGGAGGAGATTCAGGCTCCTCAATCAAATTGGTTCATATCTATTAAAGGTTGGAACGCTAGTGGAACGAGATTTGGGATAATAAAGTTTGTCTATATTCTTATTCTTACTTTTAAAATCAACTTTGTGATGCTTAAATCTTGTTTTCTTATCCATAGTCTGCCATTCTGATTGGCTGTT